AAAAAAAAAAAAAAAAAAAAAACGTGAACTGTATTCGTGAGTGTCATATTTCTAAGGAAGATAGATCCACGGGCGAATGTTTTATGGCAGTTTCCGGTCGAATTTTCGCAGTTCGGGTTGTATCCAGGGCATGAAAAAGCACGCTTCGCCTACGCTTGACGAATAAAATAAAATGTATACGCGAAATTGCCGTGTTTTCGGAACAAAAGGACAAATAGAGTATAATTTAAAGAACAAAACGAAACGAACGGAGGGGGGGAAGAAAGAAAACGGTGAAAAATTAAAAAAAAAAAAAATAAATCGAGGGACATAAGAAATAAACGGCAGTCAAACTAGAAACAAAAGAAGAAAAATTCGTGGCACGCAATAAAAAGAGGAAACTGCTCTTGAAACATTGCCCAGCGAAACCAAAGTTCCTACTACGTTTTATAAAGTATATAACTGAACTGCAAAACTTGAATTGTACATAAACGAGGGTTAAGCTAGCACACGATCCACAACATACAATCAGCAATCGAACGACGCTATGATGAGACGGAGGGATGCAGGGTCAATTGATTCCACGTCGCGATTTTCGTTTCTTATTTATTAATGACGAAATTCAAACAAATTCGAGAGGATCCACGTTTTACGGTCCACGGCGTTAACTACATCGAGCGGCAAATAATTTTGTAACATACCATCGTCTTTTACAATTGAAAAGAGACGGGGGACAATTGATCGTGACAGCACAATAAATGATGAGCATAAAATGGAACATGCTACGAGAGAGGAAAACGCGTTAATACATACATGCATACATATACACACGTACATACATGAAACAAATTACACGTACATACGGATCTAGCACACAGTACAGTTTCCACACAGACTGCAGACAGATTACATTTATACACATACACATATAGAGACACGAGACAGACCACGCGTACAGTGAAAAAGGAAATTAAGCACATTAAGTATACAATTAAATTAAGCAGCCGTAGCTTTAGCTTGAATGTTAGCACCTAGACACACGATGTAACATTAAACTACGTATTTAAAGAGACAAGAAAAGGAAAAGGGGGAAAAAAAAGATCATGAAGAGGAGACGGAGAGAAAGAAATCTTTAGCGGTTAAGCGAACTATCTGTGTAAAATCTAGTAGGTGTCCACAAGAATAAAATAAAAACATATATTATGGTACAAATCACACAAAAGATCGTACCTTCAAGGTCCTGACTGCGCCTCCAACCGAACTCTTTCTTGTACATATAATTTTTTATATGCCGATCTGATTTGTGTATGATTTCTATATATACGATATGTATACCGCAATTATAATATTATTCGCACCGAATAATCCTATTGTCGAGCGTTTTCAAAAATAATCCGAAGAATTATGTCGCTAGTAAAATCAGCTCTTTTTCTTTCTTCTTTAATTCACCGCCCTCTCTTTAACAACGACGCAATCTTACAAAACGATTTTACTAATACCAACGAGAACCACTTTTGATTTTTTTGTTCGCATCATATTCAGGGTGCATTTATGATTTATGTCTAAGAACTGTTGCATTCGACTTATATATAATAACAAACGGGGGAAAAAAAAAAGAAAAAAGAGAGAGAATGAGTTTCATAATACAGAGTAAACGTCTAACGACAGATTCATACTTTCGATCGAAGGACTTTGTCGATTTTATTTCCTATCGATTCACAGTTTAGTCGTGTCGTTCGCTTCTCCATTTGTCACCAACTCGAAGTCCGGTTTCAATTCTTGAACCGACTTGCCAACTTTCCCAGTCCATTCTATTATACCGTAGCCGATCATGCCAAGACAAAGGATTCCTGCAAGGCAGTAGAGCTTCGTTTGCGTGCAGAGGTAAGGACTGTACACGTACGTGATCACAGAACCAGTGGACTCCCACAGTCGGAAGTTCGAGAAGGCAGCTTCTTCCTTACCTGGGAATAGTAATCCCGACAGGGCTGAAAATTACAACGGAATTTTTATTTCAATTGATCGAAGGTCGAAGAAAACAGTCTCTATGATCTATGATTAGAAACGAATAACAAAGCATCAATAAAGGATAAAAATAATCGCGTTTTATTTTCTGAATGTCGCGTGAAATTTGAAAACATGGAACATTTGGAGAGGAATTCCAGTTCCCTATAGCTGATAAAGTAGAGGAAACGTGGGTATATTACCGATAAATGTTTAGTAGGAAATCTACTCTAACGACAGCTGATGTTACCACACGTACGATGAGATTTTTTTTGCCGATAGATGGTAAAAACAAAAGACGCATTCTCAAAAAAAACTTCAGCTTGATTATTTAACGCTCACCGTTTACTTGTACCAGCCACATAGCGTCGCAGAGACCCCATAATCCAGACATGAGAAAGAATATTTGACTTTGTTCAGGTGACGGTTTCCAGCGTAACAGGAAGATAAAAATTCCCATGTGAACGCAAAACGCGAATATCATCAAGGCTCTTCGTCCTGTTAGTTTCATGATTGATCCCGTACCGAGGGCAGCTATAGCGTTCGTAACGCCGAAGCAGATCATCACGTAACCGATGTTGCTGATTGCCCATGCGCAGGAGACAAACGACTGAAAAAGAACATCGACGAAGCATGTCGAGAAATTTTCGAGAAATTTTCAAAGCGTGATACCGATTGAAAACACTTACAGCATTGTAATCGGCGAATAAGAATGCTTGTTCCGCCCCGATGAACATTATAATCGGCAAGACAAGGATCTGATTCTTCTCCTTCAGTAGTTTCAATGTCACGGCCAGCAACTTGAGGCCTGACTGGCCTGTCGCTGATCCCGATCTACCTCTGTTGTACCTTGTTGTAAGTAGTGCAACAATAAAATTTCACTGTCCAATTAAATATTCGATGGGCATTCGGATGACAGATTTAAATAGAGAACTATTTTACTAAAAATGACAAGGATATTTTGTATTTACAAGGATTTACTTAAAATAACAAAGGGGAGATATTTGAATTTCCTTTTGTTTTTCACACGAATTTTTGAGAAATGGTCGCATAATGCGGAACCACGTAGCACACTCGAACCGATATTAATGATCCGCCTTCACCGTGAAAAATCCTATGAGTTTAAATTTTCGACTAGTTGCTGCACTCGCGTTAGTTTCGATTAATCGTTGGTGTTGGCCGTGGTAATTTTTCAGAACGGAAACAATATTGCTCTTCTGCTCCGCAGCTTAATGCACCATCAATTCCGGAATCACGAATACGTCCAGATACGACGGACGATTTATGACAAGCCGGACAATAAGTTTCGCTTCGGTCACAAAGTCGATCGTGAATATATATCGATATATCGTTGATCCTTGTATCTTTTAACTGATGATGACGGCGAACGTGTATGTACCCGCAAGATAGATTATGCATTTCGCTTTGACAAATAAAACAAAATACATATACGTATTAGCTTCGACGGGATTGAAATTTCATATCCGATCCGGAGTCTCGATTTTCAACGTCGCCGATCCGATGAAACTAATTTCCTCGTGCTCGAATAACGCGCACGGTGCACGCTGCTATATTTACGATAACTTTGATCGTCTCTTCGAGATTATAAAGTTGTCAGATTTTTTAGAAGTTTCGAAACAATCCAGGGATATTTCTTTAGATTTGGAAATTCAGAGATATTTAAATCAAGACAAATTTGGGAATCTCAAAGATTTGGAAATTTCTGACAGAATTTAGATAATAGCCAATTAGTAGTGCGTTCGTGCTACTGAATAAGGCTGGCACGAGTAACAAGATATATAGATAACTGTTACCTCGAGAGCGAGTCGACTCCGAACGCGACAATTAACGAGGCCACTATCATACAGCCCAGGTAGATGCCGGAAATTAGATGAATCCTTTCCTCTGCAGGTCGTTCCAAATTCGGGCTCTCATTCGTGTCAGAAGTCGCGCCGCAGAATTTGGCACCGCACGTTTCCGCCACGACGCTGCTGTTCAGCGTTACACTCGCGGCATTTGGCACCGTGTCGATTCCATAAGAGAGAACTATAAGAGAGAACTACGAAAATAATCGAGGGCGGGAGGGAAATACTCTGCAAGAAACACATTGCGCGTTAATTGTTTGCTGAATTGTTTCCAAGTTGCGCAATTTTCATTTCAAACAATTGAATCAATCTCCCGCGAAATAATCGCGGGATCGTTATTACAAAATATCTGCGTCCTCCAGAAGCGTCCTCCAATGATCGTTATCATTTTCGAAAAAATTTTCACTCTCGTAAAACGCGTGGAAATCGATTAGTTTCACCGATTTCCCAAATCGCTCGATCAGATCCGCTTTCCGCGTAAATTCCGCTGGAAATTTTCGCTAGACAACTCGTAGTTGTCGTTTCGCGGCTAATTGCGATTCTGTCCGCAGCATTTTTCACAAACACGAAGCATTTCAGCGAGAAATCGTTCCGTTCGATCTTGCGTGCCGATTGACCGTTGTTTCATCATCACGCTGGGAAAAGAATTCAACGTTTTTCGACGAGTCACGTCAGTGACCCGATTTCCAATTATACCTTGGATTCTCTCTAACGAGGACTCGTCTTTATTTCCCTCGACGTCTCTTTTCCCCCATTTTCGCGTGGTTTCTCGCAGAAAAGAATTTTTCGTTACAAAATTCACGCAGTCGCGACGAAAGACTGCTGCCAGCTGTTGGGGGCTTGACTTTCGCCAGTCCAGTTTTACAGTTCCCTTCGTTATTCGCCAGCTTCGCGTCGTAATGTACAGCGGTTTCCGGAATTTCACGTGTCGAAAGATTGAAATTTCCGGAGCAGAAAAAGGAGCTGGCGGGACTGGAACCGGAGACGAGCCAATATACGTTCGAGAAGGGAGTTTCGATCATTTATTTGTTGGTTTTACGACCGCGGCTGATATAAGAGGTGATATAATAAAATTCTCGACGTGCTGTATCTGTTCAAATAAAGTTATCGAACATCGGCTCGCGGCGTGTGTAACAGCCTAGCATTCAAATAACGTTCGATTTACTTGGAGGCTTGATTTGCCGTGTAATATTTGCAAGAGACTGTTTACGCTCCGCGTCGAAACTTTTATGACTCGATGGCCGAGCTTTTATCGGTCGATTAAATTTTTATCAATTCTTCTGCGTCGTAGCTTCGTTATTTTCTTTTCTTTTCTTTTTCTTCTTTTTTTTTTTTTTTTTTTTAATTTAAGCATTAAGAGAACTAAATTCACGTAGAATTAAAGATCTCCCGCATTATGACGTTTCATGCAATTATTCCTTCGAAAGAATGAAAGAACATTCTGCAGAAGGAATTTCTTCTGTTGAGATTGCTGGCGAGTTGTGTGTCCAACCCGAGAAAAAGGAGGAATTGCAACGCTGAGTCCCATATGAATTTCATGCTTTGTAATATTTTATAAGCGCGTGTCTCCGAATAAAATTACGGGATAACCTTGCTTTTCTTCATTTTTTTTATTCATCGCGTGAATATAAATTTGTCCCGCCAGTGTTAATAACACTGTGAAAGGGGAATTTCAAACGAATTGTCAACCTCAAAGTCAGCCTGTTCATTTAGCGAAAAAAAAAGAAAAAAAAAATAATAATCCTCTCTAGAAACATTTGTGTTCGAAACGTGAAACTGAACGAAGAACGAATCAAAAGACAGCCAGTCGACGAACATGAAAATGAGTGTTCGTTTGTCCGGAGACAATGACACATTTTGCGCAAGCTCGCACGGATTAATTCGCGCCATTCTCTGCGAAATATAGGCTCGAAATAATCCTCGGGATCAAGCGGGATGCGCCTCGAATCGCCTTTAAACAAGCAAGTTTTATCATAAACTCCCGCGAGAATTATGCGACGCAGATATTATTCCAGCGAAAAGCAAGGGGTAAGATTAAAAAAAGCTTTAGAGGCTTGATTAATGAATTTAAAAGAAACAAGCTTGGTCAATTAATTGATCTCTGCGTTAAACCATAATCTGATTCCTTTTCTTCTCTCTTTCTCTCTCTCTCTCTCTCTTTCTCTTTCGTTCAGTTCAGTGCTTCGTCTTGTCACTTCGTCGATATCGGTGGTGGTTTCATCTTATAAAGTTATAAAAATGGAGAACAAGGTTCCATTTCGAAGCGGACAGCAGGCTAAATTGCAATTAAAGTTTCTTTATTTTTTCGCGTGTAACGGATGTTCGAAGGGTGAACGCGCATGCACCGGTGATGGCCAGCTGAATAGTTGACAAGGGTGAAAAAAGGAAAAGAAAAAAAAAAA